ACTTGAATTCTCTAGATTTCGTCAGAGAGAGAGAGAGAGAGAGAGAGAGGAGAGAGAGAGAGAGAGAGAGAGAGAGAGAGAGAGAGAGAGAGAGAGAGAGAGAGAGAGAGAGAGAGAGAGAGAGAGAGAGAGAGAGAGAGAGAGAGAGAAGACAGGAGAGAGAGAGAGAGATAGAGAGAGAGAGAGAGAGAGAGAGAGAGAGAGAGAGAGAGAGAGAGAGAGAGAGAGAGAGAGAGAGAGAGGAGAGAGAGAGAGAGGAGAGAGAGAGAGGCTGTAGACCTCTAATACTGCTTTTACTTGAACTGCAATTTCGTAGCACAATGCCATGCAGATAAACATGCAAGTGACTTAGGATATATGGAGATACAAATAGAAATGTCCAATGGCGAACTATCAATTCTAATGACTAATCTAATTAGTAACAATGGTGGCCTACTACAGGGCACTTCACTTAAACAAATAGCCAATACAAGCAACAAAGCAACAACCATTATACCGAATATCTTAGAATAAATAGCGATTATTCAGATCAGTTTGAATCTTATTTTTAATGACCAGGATAATCGTCTCCTCGATTGCTGGGAAACGTTTTCTGACCAATTACCGGACTCAGATGGCACTGGCACGATTCACGAAACTAGTCTGCTTGTTCTCTGCCACCAAGGAACAAAATGGGAGGTGACGTCTAACACCCATCTGGCAATTCACTCAATACTAAAACCCACATAACTCGCTTATAATGAAAACTTTGCATAGAGGAACTTTTCTTCCCTTATCAACTGTCTATTCGCCTGTGGGAATTGAATAGCAAATATAAGTCAAAGATATGAAGTAAGTGACGCAATGAAAGGAATAGCTGGAACCCTTATCGAGCAGTATGTAAGGAAAGCTGAATTAAGGGCAGGTCATTTTCTCGTAAAATAAGTGTCCCTGATCCAGCGCTGACACTTGAACCGCTGCCAGTTTTAATATCATTAAAAATAGTATCACTCAAGGACCAAATTTAGGGTGTTTGGTATTGAAATGTTTATTTGGTGAGGGATGCTACTCTCAATTATGACAATTTCTCTAAAATTTACCTTGTTTTTTCTCTTCTGTTTAGAGAAGTGATTGAACTTTTGAAACATCAATGTTGCACCTCTCCACAATGGAAATATAGCATTAGAAATAAGAGATATGATCACCAAAAGTTAAACTATAATTGTGAATGAACTGCTTGAGGAATTCATGTCGAGAACTTTACTATGAATCCTCTTTTTGGCTTAACAACTCCGCTTTTGTAAGAATCATTCTGCTGATTTTCAGGAAATGTTTCTGCCATCTAATCGGAATTGAACGCAAACACAAAACCATCTTTGATTTCAGGTGAGAATGAACTGATGTATACTGTTTGGGAGATAGATGAGATCCCACACGAAGAACACCGAAATAAGGTCTGCACTTCATGATCCAGAGCTGTCTTTGAGTCAGCCAAAGCCACAGTGGAAAAAAATACAATAATTCGCAGACAAGAGAAGAAACTACTAGACGACTAAACCCTTAAAACCGCCGCCAGTAGTTAGCAAACGGAAATTGAGCAAAAGGTAAACGGAAACTCGACAAAGGGGAATCATATGGCGTGCAAAAAAAGACCTTTTTCCTCTGTTTTGTTTACACCAACGATTTTTCTGTTCTTTCCCAAAAGTCCTTTGCCATTAATACCAATCATCCTGTCACTGATTACAAGACGTCGGATGAAGCTGAATATACAGAGAGTATAGCAATTATGATGATAATGTTAATACTATTATCTATAATAAAACATAATTAGCGTTAATATCAATGGTGGTGCGGACTATCATCTATAATCATCTATAATGATGCTATAAATCATAATGATAACAGTGTCATTATTTTTATCGTAGATATTTTAATAAAAGGGATAAAAAATGATGATAACAATAAATGACAATGAGGATCATCATAATGATAATGATAAAATAGAATGATATGAATGGTAATGATGATGATGATGAAACATATAATCATCATAATAGTAATAATAATGATAATAATAAAAATGACAATAACTATAACAATAATTAAAAATAATAAGGATAGATAATGTGTAACCATAATAAAGATAATGATGATAATGAAATGAAAAATATAAAAATAATATCATCATCATTATCAGTTTCATTACTATCACTATTATCATCATTATCATTATTATAGTAGTAATAATAATGGTAATGATAATCCTAATGATAAGATAATAATAATAAAAGTAATAATGATAAAAAGATGATAATGATAATAAAAACAACAATAATGTTAATGATAATGATGATGACATATGATAATAATGATAATAAAAACAATAACAATAATGTTAATGATAATGATGACATATGATAATAATGATAATAAAAACAATAATAATGTTAATGATAATGATGACATATGATAATAATGATAATAAAACAATAAAATAATGATGATAATGATGACATATGATAATAATGATAATAAAAACAATAATAATGTTAATGATAATGATGATATATGATAATAATGATAATGACAACCTTAAAATCAACAATATCAATGATAATAATAATAATCATCATTATTATCATCATTATTACGACAACGATGATGATGATGGTGATCATGATAATAATAAAGATAATAATTATGAATAAAGTAATAATCACGATAATAGAAATAATAACGAGAAGAAGTATGATGACAATAACAATAGCTATGATGAGAAGGAAATCATGATAATGGTACTACTACTACTACTACTACTACTACTACTAATAATAATAATAATAATAATAATAATAATAGCAGTAAAATAGTAGCAACAACAATAATACACAGCCGGCAAGAACAAAACAAAACAAACCAAAAAAAAAAAAAAAAAAAATCATGCAAAAATGCCGGTCTTTTGGGGTAGAATGTGGAAACGATATAAAAAAGATCTTTGACATGTTTGTGTTTTCCTCTTTTTTCCTTTGTAAACCAGAGAGAGAAGCAGGTAAGATGAAAAGAAAAATAGAGAGACTGGTAGACGGTGATATTATAAGCAGTAACAACATACTCAAGAGTAATGCAGCCACTTGGGGGGCAAGCCAGCCCAACTTTGGAAACCAAGTTATGGAAATGCACGTGGATGGACGTAGAAGGAGAGGTAGACCCAAATTAAGTTGGAGGGAAAGGCTAAAAGAAGATCTGGAAGACAAGGGACTCAGAAGGGAAGATGCAATGGACAGAGCAAGATGGAAGAGGCTAGCGAGGAACAGTGACCCCATATAGAAATGGGAATAAGCTGAAGAAAAAGAAAGAAAAAGTAGAAAAAAGAAAGAACATACTCAAGAGTGGTAAGGATAAAAAATTGCTTCAATACTAAAACCTCTTCAATGAGCGTCTAAAACTACCTCCTAGATCATTGGCCAGTTTGTTCAAATTGTGCGAGACCCAAAGAATAATCGTAAACTTGACACGCATAATTAAAGAAACAAATGCATATTTATCAGTCTAGACATACATATCAACCGGACAAATAGATAAATGTATATCTATCAGATATATAGACATATATGTATTTATTTCTGTGTATATGCATATCTGTATTTATGAATATTCATTGGGTCGGGCCTTACACAATTTTAACAAACCGGCCGCATAACATTAATAGTGAAAAGGTGAACGCCAAGACTCTATGACCTCATGTGATGATGTATGACGCTTTACTGTAACGTTTGTATCTCAGAAACCGAAAAGTGTTGGGACTTATGGAACAAACTCGTTTAAAAGGTCTAATGGCAGGTGTTCAGTGAGAATCGGTCTTATCCAAAGAATTGCCTTAAAATTGGTAAAATCGGCAAAACTCTTGTATCCCATGAACCAAATAGAGATGGCAGTCATTCGACCAAACACGGAAGAGACCTATAAGTGCCTTGTGTAATACAAATATGATATTTTAGTCTTGGTCCCTTTAGTGGACTTAAATGGTGATTGACTGCCCGTAAAATGGCTTATATATGTGTTTTTGAAACCTCTTGGTGCGCTTTAAAACACGGTAATAGCTTGAGCTGGGTTTCTATTACCCACGAAATAGCATCAAACCTCAAAAAGTTATCGTATCATAAGGCTCTTTTCCCTCGCCAAAGCAAAACCTTGATAACGCGACCATAAATTTTGCTACTACATAATCATGGTGATTAATACTAATGATAATATTTCATTATCATTATGAAAATAATAGTAATGATAATGATAATAACAATAATTGTAAAAGTAATGATAATAATTAGATAATAATAACGATGATGTATGTAGCAATGGTAATAATAAGAATAACAATGATAATGATAATATAAATGATAATTATGAAAATAACAGTAATTATAATAATGATACTGATAACAATAACAGTTGTAGTAACGATAATAGTAATAATGATATTAATAATGATGGTACTGATAAAAGATAGTAATGATGATTATGATGAGAACAATAATAATTGCAATGATAGTAATGGTAACGATAATAATAATAACGATGATGATGATGAAGTTTGTAATGAAAATGATAATGATAGTAATCATCATCATCATTATAATAATGATAATGATACTGATGAAAATAATAATAATAATAATAATAATAATAATAATAATAATAATGATGATAATAATATTAATAATGTTAATAATAATAATAGTCTAATAGTAATAATGATATTGATAGTAATAATAACGATAATGATAATGATAATAATGAGAATACTACTACTACTACAACTACTAGACTAATATTTACAGTAGTAATAACGGTGAAAGTAATGATAATAATGAATGCAATGACAAAGAATGATAATAAAACAACATATAACAACAACAAAAAACAATACATCAGCTCTTCACCCAACCACACTATACAACGCACCAGAGATGACGTAGCGATGACGTACACGATGACGTCACAAGCGCCACAACCACCGAGTGCCAAGGTGCCAACGCCGGGCAGTCACCATGGCGACATCGGCGAAGAGGGCTGTGTACGTTTTCTCTATCGTTCCTAGACTGGCACAGCTAGTTCAAGAGGCTTTACCAGATGTTATTGTGATCAACATCAAGCCTGAAGGTAATGCTATTAAATCGTCACGTGCAATATGTATGACAATACGAATAGATCGGATTTTAACCATAATATAATGAACGATACAAAGATTTTATGAACTGCCCTTGACATAGTATCTTAAACTGGACTTATGACTTCGAATATCTTACTGTCAGCAACTTTGAGTCCCATGAAAAAAAGCTTTTTAGACACTTCTGTTAGCTTTTTCTACTGTTTGTAACCACATCACATCCTATAGACGTGTTATCTCTAAGCCTAACACTTGGGAACAGCAACTGGTATTCTTCCTAAACTAATTTCAAGGTCATTTGTGGCACCATGATGTGGCATATGTTTCTTATGGTTGGTTCCACTGTATTTTATGCAATTAACTCTTATTATTATTATTGTTAGTATGGTTAGCATCATCATCATCGTTATTATTATTGATAGTGTCATGATCATTATTGTTATTAATATTTTTGTCTTTTTTATGGTTATTAATATTATTATCATTATTTTTTATTATTTTTACTATTATTATAATTAATGACATTATTATTATATTATTATATATACAATATTATTATCATAATGATATTATTATTAATATTATTATTAGTCGTGGTATTTTTAACATTGTTATCAATATTGCTATTATCATCATTATCATCAAAATCATTGTCATCATTATTATTAGTAGTAGTTGTTGTAATATTGTTACTGTTATTTCTGTTTGCATAATCTTACTCTGACCCATTAAAAAAAAAAAAAAAGGACCATAACAATTTTGTGGTGGATTTTTTTGTTATATAGAATATGGGCCTCGTCAGAACAAGAATACCTTTGATTTAACTTTTTTTTATTTCCCTGTGGAAAAGCATTATTGAACGAGCAACAAGAGCAGGATTTTCACATTACAAGCACAAAAGTCATATATCTCGAGAGGGTGATAATGAGAATAAAAAGCCATCAGTTTAAACAAACCTCTCTAGATAACAGCAAATTAAAAGTAACTGCATCTTGCGGGAAGAAAAACAGATGAAAAAGGCCAAAATATGAGACTGAAAGACTGCTCGCTTATTTCATTCATATTTCCTTAAAATAGGAATAATGAATAAATAAAATGAAGAAGTATTTTACAGGATTGTTGAAAGGGAGGAATAATATTTTGCTTCATTTCTTTAATAGATATGTATGGAATAAGTAACTTTCACTTACTTTAGACAAATTTTTTGAAGATTTTTTTCTTCCCCGCTCACTGTACGCACAGCACTCGTATCATATATATTAATCCCTCAAATGCAAAAACAGGAAGAATTTACTGATATAACAATGTAGATTTATCCATTTATAGTTCAAAGAATAGGCTTTTGATATCAAAGAAGAACTAGATATTTTCTCTCTTTTTTTAATGTGTATTTAATTTTAATGTGTGATACAAACTGATCTGTGCCTTACAAATTGATTGATCCCCGTTTGATGAAGTGTCAATTTTATATAATCTTTCGACAGGGCGTGTTGCATCAGAGCAGACGAAAGCTGTAGAGCAACTCAAAGAGGCAGAGATCCTCTTGGCAGACAACAACTTTATTGGAGAGGTTTGTACTGTGCCAAGCAGCTCCATTGGATACATCAGAATCACACAGAATCTAGCACATTGCAATATGTTTTATAGATTGCCTATACTTATTACCCTTTTTTTTTTTTACTTATACTCTTATTCTTCTTTTTCTTTGTCTTCTTTTTTCACTGCAAGTTTGTACTGGCATGGTAATAATTAGGAAAGTAGCTATATGTGATATATGAATGAATAAGTCATGTTCCTATATATACTTATTAGGAAATTAAGTTCTTTTTCATGTTGGATATTGTCTCTTGTGTTTATTTCTTCTTGTTTTTGTATGATACACAAGTTTAGATATATTCAAGAGTATCCCAGCTGTATTGAACAATTTTTTCCTTAATTTTTAAATATTTTTTTCTACTTATTCATTTCTAATCAATGAATTAACATTATGAATCTGCTTTCAGATAACGCACCTGCTCCCCAAACTCCAGTGGGTCCAAGGAACATGGGCGGGGGTTGAGGGACTTGTTGACCTTTTCAGGGACAAGGTGAGAGTTAGAACATGTTCAAGATAAGCATTTAGCAGTTTTTGGTGTAGATTCTATACATTATTTTAGCATTTTTACACAGAGAAAGAAAAAAAATTATGCCATTTCAGAATAATTCAAGTAAAACAAGAATTTCCACCACATATTAGGGTTTGTACCTCTCCATGATATTTTATTATCAAATGAGGAATCAGGGCAAGCACTTTATTGCCAGAGTATACATAGTAAAGAATCATTGGCCTTTGTTAGTGTGCAAAGTGCAGAGGCCATGGCAATCAGATGCACCATACCACAGTCACAGCAAGCCAACCATCACAGACCAAGTTTCAAATTAAATACAAGAAAAATGTCCCATTTTGAGAGGCACTGGTCATCTAAACATTCAGCATAATTTGGTAAATAGATTATTCATAGTTTTTTTAAATCTAAATTTGTTGAACAGAGGACACACTTAAACTAACATGGCATTTTTTCAAAAGTTTAGTTTTCCATACCCAGACACTCCTCTGTACTATCAGTGATACATATGCCCTTGCTGAAACCATTTGTTTTTAAATTTTACAATTTTGTTATGTAACCAGTTATTATATTCTGTATTTGTGTTTGTTGTAAAGATTATTACATCATGTACTGACACATGATCTAATTGTACCTCAGCATTCTCTAAGAATCTAATCTACTTCATTTCATTTTATTAGCCAAAGCCAAACTTCCCAATCAGTCGTATGGTTGGGGATTCCTTCGGTCAGCTTATGGCAGAATATACAGTTGGTCGTATCATAAGTCATGAGCGAGACTGGTTTGAGTGTCATCAAAACCAGGTAAAACTTTCCAATTCCTTTTATTCTTTATGTTTGAATTAAATGTTTTAACTGTGAATATATCATTAAAGGTAATGCTGGCTCTTCAGTATACCCATGCAAAACTTCAAAAAAGTTTTTGTGTGTCCATGTGTGCATGTAAGAGGCATTGGGGTAGTATGCATATTTACTCTTATTTCATTTGTATCAACAGATGAAAGGTTTGTGGCTTCATGAAAAGAAGATCCATTACTACCGTAGCATACAGGACTTGGTTGTTGGAATACTTGGAATGGGAAATATTGGAAAAGAAGGTAATATTTATGAATACTTATGTACCCCTTTATGTACAAGATTATTAGGACTGCAGTTTGTACAAGTTTGATTTTTAATTATTCTCCCTCTTTCTATTTGGCTTTCTTTATATATTAGCTTGTTTGAAATCAGCTGAAATGCTTCTTAAGGGCAAGCTTTTTGGTATAATTTCCCTTTCAAATGATATGTATTTTCTTTATGCAGTTGCAAGATGCCTCAAAGCATTCCGATGCACTGTGCATGGTTACAGCCGCTCAGTCCCAAGTGATGAGAATAGATGTAGTAATGTTGATAAATATTGGTAAGTATTATCATTTACTTTTTCTGCTGAAAACTTTGCTATGGCCTACAAACAATGATTTTCTGTAAGATATTTTAAAGTTTATAAAAGCATAAAAGGGATGGGAAATTATGTTTTTTGTTGTTGTTGTTTAAAAGTGTTTGTTTCAATTAGATTTTTGATGCACAGGATAAGGGAGCCAAGTTGTTTGAGGTAGATTGTAAAAATATACAATTTTTAAAAATATACTTTTAAGAGATTATTTAATTTTTTTTCTCTAACTGCTAATGATGAGATTGAGGAGTGATTTCATCATTGTAATTTATCAAATAAGGACACATGCACAACATTTATCCTTACAATGTCAGTATCTTTTTTAAGGTATGTTCTCTGTATACTTCCAAAGGCATACTGGAGAGCTTTCATCCCTATTGAAGGAGTGTGATTATGTTGTAAATATCATGCCATCAACACCTGAGACAAGAGGAATGCTTGGGGGAGACGTCTTGAAGGTTGCAAAGTATGATTTGAGATTGTTATCACTCCTTTTTTTTTTTTTCTTTTTTTATTATATAAATCAGTCTTCTATGAATAATCTTATCCAGTGCAAAATCTTTTTTGTCAGTAACATATTTAAGAATTTTAGCCCCTGAACAGTGGAACATGTCTATGAATTTATGGTCAACAGATACTGGGGATCGTTTTCCCTGTCATGTCTCCACAAACACGTGAACTTATAAAGTAATACATTTACTTTAGTATGTTTTTAGTTCAGTCATATGCCCCATAAACGTTGTCTGTTGACCATGTGTATAGATATGGCCAAACCATAGGGAAGGGAGAAGATACATTGCTTTTAGTAACTAATATGTTCATTCTTGATTTCATTATATTCTGATGCATTTTCTTTATTGGGCAGAAAAGGAGCTGTTCTTATTAACATTGGCCGTGGAGACCTCTTAAGTGAAGCAGACCTGATCAGGAGCCTTGATTCTGGGTGGTTGTCGGGAGCCATTTTGGATGTTTTTGCCAAGGAACCTTTGTCCTCAGAAAGTCCCCTCTGGAAGCATCCCAAAGTAATATATTAAAAAATATTGTGTGCATGGTTGTTCTCATGGTGTGTGTGTATGTGTGTGAGTGTGAGGGAGTGAGTAAGAGAGATAATATGTATACATAAGTGTAATGATAATATCAGAAGCACTTTTATTCTAGTCTCATGACCTTAATACCCCAAGCAAAAGCTAGACAGGAATTAATGCTTCTTGAATGTGCATGACTCCCTAAATCTGGTTTCCATTGATAATTTATGCAAAATAGAAGATCAATATTTCTCATCAGTTTCAAATGATCAGTTTCAACCTAAAAGCCTGTCTTCTTGTATAAGTCAACATAATTGATTTCTCACTAATTTTCTTCAAACCTGTGTCTCATCCTCTTTTGAATTTACCTTTATTCATTTTAATTCTGGGTAAAATGAATGAGAATTTTGGTCTTAATTATCAATGGCAAGACAGATATTAAACATAATAAACATTAATCAGTCAGACAGTTATTTTAAATGCATACTAAATTTTTCTCAAACTAAATAGTAAACATCCCTGTATAACATTTTATTGTTTTTAAGATAATGACATAAATGTATGTAGTTAACCTACTCACAACAGGTGCTGCTCACAGTGAAATGCAAAGTGCATACAGCATAAATTTGCCTTGTTCCCTATTGTCTTGACTGCAGCATAAATTATTATTTAAGGAATGCGGCAGGAAAGAGGCTTTAAGCATACTTTTGAGGGCCTGTTTCTCGTCAACTTAGAAAAGTATTCAACCTGTATCACATTAAAGGATGTCAACCCGGTGTGAGTTACAGTCAAGTCAAATTTTACAGAACATAGGGGGTTGAATACAAGGTATGCATACATAAATCTTTAGAGGTTTGTGTATGTAAGCCATAAAATCAGAAGTTTAATATCAAAAGCAAACTTATCTGTAAAGAAGTTAATTAATGCTCTCATACATATATACATACATACATACATATATATATATACATATATATATATATATATATATATATATATATATATATATATATATATATATATATATATATATATATAATATATATATAGATATATATATGTATCTATCTATATATATATCTATCTATATATATCTATATATATATATATATAATATATATATATATATATATATATATATATATATATATATATATATATATATATACACATATATGTGTGTGTGTGTGTATGTTTTGTGTATAGTGTATATATCTATATATTATATCTATATCTATATCTATATCTATCTATCTTCCATCTATATATCTATCTTATATATATACATATATATATATATATATATATATATATATATATATATATATATATATTATATATATATATATATATATATTATATATATATATATATATATATATAATATATATATATATATATATATATATATATATATATATATATATATATATATATATATAGTGCATATATACATATATATGTATGTATGTATATATGCATATATATAAAAAGAAGAAAAAGTGGTACGTGAAGTAACATGATAGTTGACCACTGTCCACTATCCACAGGTGGAGATTACTCCCCACACTGCAGGAACTAGCAGACCCGAAGACGTGTCTAAGACTTTTATCCAAAACTACAAGCGTTTCTCTCAGGGTCTTCCAGCATTGTTTCCCATTGACTGGAATGCAGGTTATTGAGGGCTTACTCTTATAGCTAGGTGAGAAACTTGTCTTATACTTCTCATTAGGTATTTTCTCTGCATTTGTTGCTTTGCATTTGTTGTTTGCATGTCTTTGTTGTGAAATGCGGACAGTGAGACATAGATTTTGGGTTTATGGGTAGAAAGATAGAAGTAGTGATGTAGTTAAACTATTTATATATTCCATGTTGCATGATTTGTAGT